GAAGAACTTTGACCATCAATAGCAGAGGAGCCAGACATTTTTTGTTAATAAAAGTTAGGTCAGATCGTCTTCTTTTGATGCAAAGAATATCGCAGTACCCTTTTGATCATGTGCTTACGGCACACCCTGTATAATAACATCGCTACCAAACACATTTGAATTGTAATTCTATCAGTTACTCTAAATAGTCGTTGTTTGGACATATAGTTGGTGGCCGGGTTGTTCTGAAATAATCGGCAAAGTACAGTTAATAAGTAGGGCGCAATAAGTGGCTGAGATAAATCATAAGAAGGCCCTCTGGAAGACTATGTTGTCTCGAGACTACGTCTATACCAGCACCTGACATCGAAATCCGAAGATGCATGGGCTATAGAATCTTAATTAATTTCGTCTCCATAATCTCAAGCAACTAAACGGCAATTTCTCGGCAAACATAAAGGATTTTTGAGAAGGTGGCTCGGGAAGCGAAATGGAACCGGGAAATACCGCCATAATTCATCTATCCTATAAGATTACTGATCTTTAATCCCCTTCCTTTCGTGCTTTTCTCTCTTTACCGAGTCGCACACTCCTAAAAGTTGAGATTTACTGCCTTCTTGGAATTATATTGTTGGCTTGCGAACGCTCGGGCAGATCCCTGCTTGCAGTTTACTGAAAATTATTATGATATATCTATACAGGCGAACCTAGTATCTCCAAGACCAAGCCAGCCTTATCACCAGTTGTCTTACAATTCCTACCAAATATATTGCGCAGGTAAAACAATGCGTCTCCATTAGTTTTTCTTTAATATATGCACAACTTTTCATATTTTTCTCTATTGCAGCTTTTTCTTCCCGGATTTATTTCTAAGGGCTTTGCAAAAATTCAATATTTGCTCCCGTTTGCATTCCAAAATCCCACTCTTAAATAAAATCCCATGTTTAGACGGTACTCGATATCTGGCTTGATCTTTGGTAACAAGGCTAAAAGGCAGTGGAGGATTTACGTAAAAGCGTATCTCGATTCTCGGTGATCTCTTATCCAGGATGACAAGGAGTCGAGAGGCTTTTCAAATAACTTCAATTGAACCGCAAATATACCTCGGCTTTATATAGTTTGCCAGGGCTATTTATCTTGATTTCCGATATTTACTCAGTCAAATATCAGGGAAATTTTTCAAAAAAATCCGTTTCAATTGTTCAATTGCCCATATGACTAAATGCAGGTCTTCGACGAATATTTTGCGAGAGGGCAGTACGGGGTCGAATATGGTAACAACATTACTAAGTTCGCTTTTACTTAGCCCAATGCAGGTAAAGTTATGATCTGCCTATTAAAGTAATTATCGAAGATGTCGCCAACAAGGTCCCTACAAAATCAAATTATCAATTCCATTCACTTTGTAGCGTTATCCTATTTGGAGAGTAAAACTTAGATGCGGTCACCGTTCGAATCTGAGTTAGATAGAATTAATAATGCTCATGCATCAATAGATCTTTATAAGTCCAAGACCAAAGGGAACTCCGCTTTCAACTAATTAAGTAGAAAGGCCTGGATACTTAGCAGTTGCGGCAAGGCGGTGGGGTCGCCTATCTGACCACATACACACCACTTTCAGCGACGCCTCGAGCACAAAATAACCCTTAATGGCCAATTAGAAGTCTTTAAAGTCCACGCTATCCGCTATATACGGTTTTCGCAAAATTAATCTTTTTACTCTACCAGTGAAACGGTTTCCAGTGTTTATCCGTCTATTCTGCCCCGAGATAACCTGTTGCTTCTGGCTCATCCTAATTTAAAAGCCCTGAACGTGGAAAGAATGGTTAACACATTGTTTTGCCCTCTTTTTCTCTTCCTTTTTCCATTCTCAGTAGGTCAGCGCGATTTCTCTTCGCTTGATTTAGTTGGGGAACATTCTTCATTTTTCTGCGGTGATAACTTCAAACTGGAGAGTTTTTCGGGCTTTTAGGTCCATGTGGAAACTAATTTCTTCCTAACGTTTCGCAAGCACGGCTGGCTTGCATCTTCAGAGCACATGGAAGATGCGAAAAAGCGCCCGGACATTATTTGCGAAACTCCGGGATTAAATTCTTTCCACCCTGCCATCAGTTTCAATTATTATCATCGATTGAATCAGCATTGAGAGATTGGCAACAATTCAAATATAATTATTTCGTCCGCGTCCAGATTGTAGACTCAAATGAGCTTTGAGCCCAAGACGTGGGTTGTAAATTTTCAACGACGGCCACATTTAACAAAAATTCAAGCCCCGTAATACACAATAAAATTCGCAAGTTTATCGTTGATAAGCAAACGGAGGCGATAAAATATAACAGACGGAACGTCAAACGGCCAACCGTCCAAAAAGCACGCGAGCAACTTCGGTTTTATCTGCTAAATGTGTTGATTTTCTTCCATTTAAGATACATTATTTCATAGAAGGCAATGCAGATGCGGACAATTTACTATTTAAAATGTTTTCTTAGGCAGAGCCTGAGGAGATAACACTTTGATAAATGTCATCGCGGTTCTGATTGAAATTTAATTAAATTTTGCTTCACCAGATATATTTGTGATGAGCATTTTAGTACGAGGGTTCGATCGAATTATGTTTACCAATTTTAATCGGGGCGAAATATCGATGCTGTTTAAAGAAGGCATCAACTCAATTTTCCTTTAATATCAAATCAGTTTTACGATGAAAAAAATTATAATGCTTTGGAAACTCAATTGAAAACAAGTTTGAAACTCCGAGTTCTATTCAACCGTTTCGAGTTTTTTAACTCTTAGAGTGACTGGGGGTGAAAGGAAAACTGTGATTTTAAAACACAACAATTTACTCAAGATTCTTCACAGTTGAATTTCGCTTAAAAGTTACTTCGTTTCGAATCGTCCCCGTAAGCACAATCTGAAAGACCGTTAGAGTTTTTCTTATTAGCTTGGCAGCAAACAATATGCGGTTAGCTGGAGAAGTCACAAATGCAGTGTGCTTGTCTCCCCTTTTTTAAAGAATG